TTATTATAATTCAATTTAGGTTTAATAACGAAGTAGTTTATATTTGGTTTAACAATATAATTTTTTATAAAAATAATAATTAATTATTTTGTTAAAACTTAATATTATCATAATTATATTTTAATTTTTTTATATTTCAAAGTAAGATATTTATCCTTTATTGATTATGTTTATCCACAGTTAATTACACGAATTCAAATATGAAGCTTTAACATGTTGTATTATTCAACTTTAAGTAATATCCATCAATAAACAATACTTCAGGCATAAAAAATAGTTTTATAAAATTTTATTAAAAATTTTATAAATAAAAATATATAATTTTATAATTATATACGCCGAAATGCCGTATACGGTGGGTAAGAAGTTAACTTGACGAGAAAGACCTTGATGGGTTGCCCACAGTTTCATTTGACTTACACGGTCTCCAATCTCCATCATTAGTTATTGTCTCTACAACCCCACTTCTTATCATCAATCATCATCAATGTTATGGGTACATATATCAACATAAATTAAATCAAACATGATAATATTATAAATCATATCAAATCATTTTTTAATTAAAGTTTAATTAATAATATAATATATTTTAATTTTTAAAAAATTTAGTCATCTTTTTTTTTTTAATTTTACTAAATGAATTCATTCGCTTAATCATAACAACCTTAATTATTCATCTACACATCCACGATACATCGTTATTTGTATCAAACTACGAGCAAATGTTTGTACTGTATGAATGTTATTTGAATGTTTGTCTATGTAGGAATAAGTGATACAACACATATTAACATGTTATTTGAATTTTCAGGGGTTTTAGTGCAACTAAATTTAGTGAATAAAAATGATAATATAAATAAATTAATAAATTTGTGACTTCAACATTTTCGATGTGGTACAATATTGTATCAACCGAAATAAGTTGGTACCAATTTAATTAATACCAAGTATAATTGGTTGATACATGATATAAAGTTTTACGTACCAAATATAATTTCACCCTTAATCAATCCATGTCTTTAAAGTAAAAAGGGTGGTTTCGATATACTTATGTATATTGTTAAATACATATTTATTTATTAATTTCTTTTATATATATATCAATATCAAAACTTATTATTTCATTTTTATATTTTTAATATATGAATTGATTTAATTCTAACAGTATTACCCTAAAATTAACCATCTCAACACTATTTATGCGCATGTGTTTGATTTTGAGGTCTAATTTTGGGTTTGATTTTTTTTTAGTTTGAGGTTTGGATTTGATTTCGATTTTAGGGTTAGATTTTTGGTGGTAGACAATGGTGGGTGGCGGTAGTCTGGAGGAGATAGTTAGAGTTGGTTGACTACGGTGGATTGGCCGGAGGTGCGATCAAGTTAATGATAAAAAACAAATATTTAATAAAAAACAAAAAAAAAGACAAAAAAATATTAAAAAGCCAAAGAATTAAAAATGAGTAAACTACAATTTTGGTCCTTGAACTTTCTTAATTGGGTAAAAGATAAAAGAATAACTGAAAAGACTAGCATACCCTCATCTAACGGTTTCTTTTAATGGCTATTAGAGGCATGAACCAAATCCAATCAATTTTGCAAACTTCAATGGTCAATTTATAATCTCAAAACTATAGGGACCAAAAGTTTTATAACCACCAAAGACTAACAAATAAGGATCAACGAGAATACGGTAGAAAATATGATCCATTAAGAGCTTATAAGAAAAAGAAAATGTGACATATGATTTGCAAGCTTAACGAGTAGTTGGTTGGAAACTTAAATGGGATCTTGTTATATGTAGCGGAGTTCCAATACAAGATTAAAAAAAATCAAGCAATGGATGGAAAGATTTAAATATCTTTTTTTTAGGGGTTGTTTGTTTACCTCTTAAGTTTCATTAAGAAGTAACATTTGAATCGTTAAAATGTGAATCTTGTTTGACAAAAAAAATATTTACCACTTAATGTTTTTAAAACCATCTGAATGATTTTGTATCATGGGTCTTCTTTAACCATTAAGCGCCCTAATTTCATTGTAAACAATTATATTTCATTTTGCACTATATCATGAAAGCCTTTTAATCATTTTGACCACTTAATGATTGTTTGACAAAAAAAAGCTGTCTCTTAATGATTCTAAAACCCTCTGAATGATTTTGTATCCAGAGCCTCCCCTAACTATTAAGCGCCCTAATTTCATTGTAAACAGTTATCAAAGAAGTATATTTCATTTTTCACTATATCATGAGAGTCTCTTAATTATTCTGACCATTTAATCATTCTGCACCAAACCATTCAGCAACTGCCAAACAACCCTTTAATCATTCTGCATCAAACCATTCAGCAACCGCCAAACAACCCCTTACTCATTTTGCACCAAATCATTCAGCAACTGCCAAACAGCCCCTTAATCATTATGCATCAAACCATTCAGCAACTGCGAAACAACCCCTTAATCATTTTGCACCAAATCATTCAGCAACTGGCAAACAGCCTCTTACTCTATAACAATAAGATGTTTTGATCAAACATTTATACGACATGATGTATACAAGAGATTTGATTGAATGCATTAACATGGATAATTTATTGATATAATCACAAAACAAGAAACATGTCATAACACATGAGAATAATAGATAGATCGTCAAGCATCAAATAGTAATAACCGTGAACTAGTAATACAATAACAACTATAGAAGTAAAAGCATATTGTAATAGCCAACAAGAGGTGTAACACAAACAACATAATGAAATAGCAATATCTAATCAAAACAGAAACAATCGAATAGACAACAAAAACACATGGAAATAGACAATAAAAGCAAAGGTGGATTAAAATAGGCAATGTAAGCAAATATCAGTAGCAAGTATAAGGGTGTTCAAAAAACCGTTAAACCATTCAAACGGTTGAACCAAGTCAAACCGAACCTTTTTTGGCGGTTTGAGCGGTCTAATGGTCCAATCTGATCTGAAAAATTGTCAAACCGTTAGGTCTGGTTTGGTATGTGGCTTGAACATTTGTTTGAGCGGTCTGGACCAAAACGACCATCAAAAGTACATATGTATTAATTATATCTAGTTTTCATGTTGTAAGCTCAACTTTCATGATCCAATTAAAAAAAAATATCCAAGGCATTATATTTTTAGTTTCCATTTCTCAATTGACCGCATTATCTGAATTGACAAAATCCCGAAATCTGTCAATTGACCACATTATCGAGTTCCTTTTAGGAAGGAAAAGAAAAGGAGAGGAGGAGGGAAATCTCGTGTTCTTGGGTTTTTTTTATAAAGGAAAAGAAAGGGAAAGGAGGGAGGAAAGAGAAAATCTTCTATTCCGGAATTTTTTTAAGAAAAAAGAGAAAGAAAAGGAAAATAAAGAAAAACACAATTAAAAATATTTATAAAATAAAATATCTAACCATGAATTACAATCCCTTTAAAACGAACAAGGGTGTATTTGCAAAATTAACATCTTTTCTTTCTTTTCTATTTTGCTCAAGAACATACAATTTAATTTTTCTTCTTTTCATTTCCTTCACTTTTTTTCTTCTTAAATTAAAAAACATAACGTTAAAGTAATTGTCCGTTAAATTACTGAAACGCAAAAACAATAATAATAACAACGGCCGGTAGCCTCAGACATTTGTACTATAAAAAAAAAAAGCTTTGAAAAACAATAAAAAATAGCGAAAAAAAACCATTTAATATTTAACGAATTTTTTTCTAAAATAAAATATAATCAATTAATATATTTTTGGACATTTATTTTCTGCTAAATTATTTTTGGCCTTTTGACTTTTTAGTCTATATGTACGAGAAGATCAATATTAAAACTAAAAATATAATTGATTGATTTAGTTTTATTAAATGAACAAAATTTATTAGATAAGTATATTGATAAAATCAACATTAGAATAAATAAATGTTGAATTTGAAAACAAATTATCATTTATTAGATAAGTAGGGCATGCTTCTAGAAGAGACGAACGACGGTGAAAAATAGACGGAAGAAATCTGTCCACCGTTTCATGCTACCCACATTTTCAATTAATTTAATTTCAATAATTTTTATATTTTAATTACACTTTTAAAATATTTAATAAAATATTATTATCTATTTTAAAAGTTAAAAATTTCTTTTATAAGAATAGAAATAATAAGTATTTATCACTTCAAAAGAATTATTTTCAGGGAATATGTTCAAAAATCTTTCTCTCCGAGAGAATTTGTTAAAATAAGTAATTAGACCAAAATCATTAAAAATATTCAATTTTTTTAGATTATATTAGGGATGTGTCTTCTAACATTTGCTTTTATCTTTTTAACGGTTAGCTATTCGTTCAAAATGTTCCATCTCTTCATGGACAACTTGGTGTTGTAATCCAGAATCTAATTTAGGAGGTTGTTATTAACGCGGAAGCTTTCTATCCTAGATCGTTTGTTTTTGGGTGGTTCTCCTGATCTTTCGATATTGGTCTGGTTTAGTTTAGGTCTCTCTTCTCGTCTGTTGTTGTTTTGTTGCTCTTTTGGGTTTTTTTTCTGCAACTTGCAGAAAGTCTAGGCAGGGTTTGTAAACTTTTTGTTTCTTAACATCTTTGTTTGTTTTTCCAAAAAAAATGCCAGAGATGCTCTAATTGATCCAAAACCTAAGACAATCTCTAACTGCTTATATTGTTTTTTTACACCAAAACAATGTAAACAATAATTCATCTTCAAATAGAATATTTCAAGTACATTTCTTATTCCGAACTTTATAAACTTTCGATGACACTCTTATATTTATTGTTGTAGTTGTTTACAAATTCAAGTCATCTATACTACTTTATAAAACAGCAAGCTCCAAAGTCTTAAAGTCTTAAATTTTTTAATACCCAAAATACCCTTGCACGCCTTACACCCTCCCCTCCCATGAGCACTCTTCCCCATGAGGACTCTTCCTCTGCCCCAGGAGCACTACTTTCTCTTCAATACAACCCTATTTTTTTTTAATTTTCGGTAAACCCTAATGTTGTTAACCCTAATTTCTCCTTTTTTGCAGGATGCTTGCTTTGGTGTGGTTCGGCGGCAACTAGAGCATTCTGAAGACGAAATCTTAACTGTGATTTACTATTCCTTAATTCTTAATTCTTAATTTTAGAATTGCATTGAACCTTATTTAGTCACTTCAAATTTTTGACAGTTTCTTCTCCAATGTTCAGAGCAATTGCCTCACAAGATTCCTCTATATGGGACGGTGGTAGGTTCAATTTCTTTTTTTATACTCTTACCTTTTAAACACTGATTCTTGATGTATTTCTTGTCTTCTCTTGTTTTTTTCTTTTGTAGATTGGGTTATTGAACTTGGAAAATGAAGAGCTCGTCAAGAAAATATTGGAGAGTACTCAAAAGAGTTTGCAGGTGAGTAAGCAGTGGTTCTTGATCAAGATGTTTGCTTTCTTCCTGAATGCACACTCATATTAAAATGAAGATAATTGGTACATTTCACGGTTCCTTAGGCGTTTTTGTTCGAGTCTTTTCACCATGTTTACTATATGTTATTTGATGGAAAGAAATACAACATTGATTTTTCTATCRATTAAAATATGGACRTACAAGTTCTTRAGCAGTAGCTATTAGCTTGTCATTTGGTATCTCTTGTTGTAGGTTTTGTGTTGATTTTTTCCAACCTTCTGTGACGGGTCTTCTTGTTTATTTGCAGGATGCACTTGACACTGGAGATTGTAATAAGATCCGTGTATTAATGCGGTTTCTAACTGTTTTGGTATGTTTCTATACTTTATGTTGTTTTAACCAGGATAAGATGCAAATAAAAACAATATGGACTGAATAGATGTGTCCTTATTGTGGTTTCTGAATGGGGTTTACTAGCCATATCCAAATTCCAATGTTTTATAGAACAATTGAAATACAATTTTGGCTTAATCACACATGAGCATTTGCTTTTTCAAGAAAAAGAACCCCTTTACAAAAGCATGCTCATTGCCTTGTTGGTGTGATTAGCCCAACTTTACATGATTTATTCTACTTTCCTGGAGCAACACATTACAAACTGCAGTTTTAGTTTGGGTCAAATTTGTGTAAATTTGCAGTGTCTATTTTAGCTGATGAATAGTTAACAGAACATATAATGAATACCTTGTACACCATATTCTTGTACTTGCATAGTTTGCATAATGGTGAGCGTGTCCCTGTTTACATGATTTTTTCATGATTTTTTCACTTTTTTCCCTGTTTGTAGATTCACTAATCAAATACACTATAATTCGTTAGTTTCATGGGTTGTTGTTTATGCCAACTAAATAGTTGCTAGATTAATCTTTTTCCTTGTGAATAGAGATTGAACTAACACCAGGGGCTGGTTTAAGTGTTTAACAGTCAATATACATTGGACTAATCAAATATACTGTCTGTCTGAAACTGATGATACGTCGGAGGTGGTGGGTTCATATTCCCTTCCCCTTGCAGATATACATTGGAGTAAGTAGTAGGATTGATGCCGAAAACAAAGCAAAGCTAATTTAGTATTGCAATGTCTCTTGCTTAAAGTTGGATTCTTTGTTGTTTCCTATCTTTGTTGGACCCCAAGACTTAGGATTCCAACATTGGAAACAGAAGTTCAAAATACGGACTATAAATAAATGAATTGAGAATTGAAAGTTCGTTCGGTAAACTGGCAGTAGTTGAAGGCTGAAGTATTTGTTTACCCAAGTAAATAACCATTGATAAAAGATTTTTTTGCAAGTAGATTCACCTTTTTCACCTTGATCTTGTGTGTGTTGCATTTTAGAGTTATATCTTGAATTGCAAGTATATCCCCCCTGATCTGCACTCAGATCTCTATGAACCAAGTGTCATCTACTATGAACCTTTTCTGCGGAGTATTGGTAGATTGTTGTATGTTTCTCCATTTGTTTTGCATCTGACTTCTATATTTATCCATATGTACTATATTTTGCATATTGATAATTCTGGAAAATATTGATGCAGCATCATCTTTCTTCTCTGCTTGCTTCCACGGATGTGGATGTGGTTGAAGCCTGTCTGCAAACTTTGGCAGCATTCTTGAAGAAATCGACTGGGAAGTGATTAAAGAGTATAAAGTGCCCCGTAGTTTAAGGTTCTCCCTTTTGACAAGATTGCGTTTTGCAAGAGGGTTTGGCTCCTCTGCGGCACGGCTACAGTACACATGTATTCGACTGCATGCCTTTGTAGTTTTTGTTCAAGCATGTAGTGATAATGATGATTTGGTCACCTTTTTTGACACCGAACCTGAGTTCATCAACGAAATGGTCACCCTGTTGAGCTATGAAGATTCAGCTCCTGCAGAAGTTCGAATTCTTTGCCTGCATTCGTTGGTTGCTGTTTGTCAGGATCGCTCACGCCAGCTAACAGTGTTGTCTGTAGTAACATCTGGTGGGCACCGTGGCATCGTATCCTGCCTCATTCAGAAGGCTATTGATGCTGTACTTAGTAAACCATCCAAGTGGTTTGTTGTCTTTGCTGGCATTTTAGTTGTAAGTCGCCAAATCCCCATATCGCAATTTCAACACTTGTATAATATAAAGAGTTTGCCGGACCAAGATTTCAGATAGATTTTTTGCTTTCACCTCTTGATATTTGCACATTTAAATGAGGTAAGTAACATTCATATTTGATGGTATTTTCTTAAAGATTTGTGTATCAATAGACGATTTGTATGGGTATTTGGTGCAGGAATATTTGGATCCTTCACCTGCTGCTGGTTATATTTTGTGGTAGTGGGTGTTCATTCTTTAATTGGTCAAGCTGTATGTATGTAAACTAAAACTACTGTTGAAAAGTGGTATAGTACTGTTGTGAAAGGGATTGTAAAAGTAGAAGCTTAAGGGTAGAAATATTAACAGAGGTCAAATGTGTATGGCCTTCTATTGTGCATCTACTAGGGAAGAAGATGAAAGGATTGTTTTTGGAAATGGCAGATCAAAGTAGCAATTCTTATGCCGTTGAAGGAATTGTGCCCTATCGTAAATGACGGATCAAAGTAGCAGACCAATAATTTTATTTGTTTTTCATGGATCAACTTCAATTTGGAACCATAACTCTTATTTTAAAGATCCCAAGCTTCAAAATCGTTTATGTTGGTATTCTTGGTCTACGAGTACATTGAAAATGGAAACTTGAGTCAACGTTTACATGGATCAGCTCAATTAAGTTTGAATACAAGGACAAATTTCTGATATCAAACACAAGAACTTATGTTCTTTAGTTGTTTGTTTCCAGGAATGGACCCACTACCATGGTCTGCTCGATTGCAGATTGCCCTTGATTCAGCAAGGGGTCTTGAGTACTTTTTTGTCTTCTATAGTTAAATTTTGCAACCCGTTGCATTGCGCGGGTAGACAACTAGTATTTTTTTATTACTACGTGTTATTTTATTTTTTTCACGGGTATGTATATATCCTTTTTATTTTTTCCATACTGTAATATATATATGTTAATTAAATAATGATGTATTTGTGTGATACAAAGAAATGTAAAAAATATTGTAAATAAAAAATAAAAAATAAAAAATTACATAAATTCCATAAAATGAATTAAAACTAGACGATGATCCATAAATTCCAGAAAATAAATATACATGATTCAGAAAAAGTTTACCTACATATACTCGTTTTCCATTCATGGAATACAACAACATTTGTATCTTATACGTTATATTCGTTTACTCTTAAAAAACAACAATCTTCAATATTATCACATACTTTGATAAAACATAATTTGTGAAACGAATTTTAATGATGTTGCTTAATAAACAGAAGAATACCTAAAAATCTGATTAGATGCTCATCATTTAGAAAAAAATATCTGTGAGAAAATTTGGTTGCAGTGTTTATGAATTGAAAAACTTGTCAATGAACCTCAAACAACTGTACACTTGAAAGATTCACAAGAGAGTTTGGAACAGGGAAACACTTGTCTACAAGAATTTCTCAATGCAAGCAGTTAGGGTCGTTTTGGGAACCGCACCAATTATTGCATCTTTTTTCTCACCCTCAACAAAGATGATGATTGTGGGAATGCTGCGGATTCCATATTCAGTTGCGATGGATGGGCACTCATCCGTGTTCAGTTTGTAGCATTTCAGTCTCCCGGAATATTGTTTTGATAATTCACCGATCACAGGATGGATCATACGGCAGGGTCCACACCATGGGGCCCAGAACTCAACCATCACCGCCCCATCCGCCTTCAGCACTAGAGACTGCCATGTTTCATTTGTAACCGAGGGAACTGCATTTCCATAAGCCAATACACATACTACTATGAGAAAGAACAAGCATCATTCAAGGACAACAATTACAAATATATCTTTTCATCATCACTTTCCTAGATTGACGACCACATGTGATTCAAAGATTAGCGAACAGGGTTTCTGCACTATTCACTCATCGTTTCAATTCAAAGGTCCAAGGATCATATGAGCATTATTAGATACAAATGTATGTTGTCAGCATGGAAGGTAGCTTGCCTCCCCTTCAAGCCTTTTAAGGCATTTGTATGTTTCAATTGGAAGCTCTTTTGAGAATTCATATCAATTTTAACCCAGATGGCCTTTACATATATGTGGAACAAGTAACAATAACATCTCAGTTAAAAACAAAAATTAAATTTGCATCTGGAGATCGAAAGGATCCTTTTTCAACCTTAAAAATTAAACCTAAATCTAAGCTCCTCTATAAAAAATGGAGAACTACATAACCCATTCTAACAATTACTTCAAATAGTAAATTGTTGTTAAGTATAACAAAATTCATATCAATTGCATTTGGAAGCTCATAAAAACAAGATTTATAATTAGAAAAAAGAAGGCAAAACTAACCACAACATTTATCCATTCCAAATCTAGAGTGTAGTTGCCAATCATGTTGGGATTGGGTCATTTTACAGTAAAAGGGAGACTGATTTGCAACAAATTGGCTTGTAAAGTGAAATTGATTGTCGGAAAAGAAGCTCACCATCGACAGCCGTATCCGAAGAAGCTTCGCAGATAATCCTACTTGCTACTCTGCGTGAAACCCTAGAATCGAGAGAAGGGGAAAACTGCTGGATCTTTAAACCGGAGAAATGATGCGATGAATAGAGGCGTCGACGAATGAACATGGCCGAGGCCAGTGATGGTGGCGCCACCATCGGCCGCCTATGGGTCCACTGAATGTTGGACGAAGAAGAAGAGAAGACGCTAGCCATTGAAGCGAAATTGAAATCTGAGAGAGAGAGAGAGAGAGACAAAGGGGGTGGTTTATTGAAGAAGAAATCTAGAGAGAAAGGACAAGTCGCAATTTCTTGTACTCTTTATTTTGCATATTTATCCCAAAAAACAAGAATACACACATTACACGTATGATGTCATGTTTCAACCTACAAAAAATTTACAAAATCGTCTGTTCTTTTGCCAGCCTAAGACGACACAAATCCACCCATCTGTTCAACGAAGTCATTCCAATCTTTTTGAAGGCTCTGTTACACTTGTAGAACTATAAATCGACTGGACGAATAATAATTAAATTGAAAACAACATACAAAAGACAAAAACTAAATAGGTTATATAGAAGAAAGATCCTCGTAAACACTCTTGATGCCTGGCCTCTCAGGAAGAGGCTGTATGCACCTTAACGCTATCCCAAGAACCTCGTGCATTCCCCTTTCAGTTCCCATCTCAGGTATCAACACCACATCAAAACAATCGAGCCAATGTCCTTTGGCTATCCTCAACCGGACCCAATCGGTCAAACCAACTCTCCGACCATCTTCATCAGATACTACATCACCTGCACACTTGCCGGTCAAAAGTTCCAATAAGATGACTCCAAAGGCATAGACGTCCGCTTTGAAAGATGGAAGTGGGCGTTTAGAGGTAGCTAGCTCAGGTGCACGATATCCTCGTACCCCAGCATCAAAAATCTGCTCGATGGTTCCTGCTTGGGTCATCAAACGATGCAAACAGTAGTCAGCTACACGTGCATTTAGATCTGCACAATCTAACAGTATGTTGGTTGACTTTAAGTTTCCATGTGGAACAACACGGTCAAAATGAAGATAATTTAGTCCACGTGCAATGTCGACTGCTATCTTTAGCCGTTGTGCCCATGTTAGTGGCGAGCCTTGTCTTCCAGGTCGATCTGCAATATCAGCACAGGAGAAATTTAACCAACGTAGGAGCCATGGTTCAACCAAACAAACCCAATATATCTCACTCAAAAAAAGGGTCCGGAAGGGTAGGATGTACATAGACACTACCTCTACAACTATTAATTAGATTAGATGAAACAAAGAGATTACCATAAAGGAAACTTGCAAGGCTTCCAGGAGATATGTAATCTGAAAGAATTAGCTTCTCGTGTTGCGTGGGTCCCCAATAGTACCCACGCAATCCCACCACATTCGGATGCCTTATATTTGCAAATTTCTTCACCTCTTTTGCAAAATCTTTTTGTTGTTTTGCAATCCCTTCTCTTAACCATTTAACAGTCAATAACAATCCATTATCTAGTGTAGTCTTGTATGAAGTACCATGGCTACTTCTTCCCAGAACTTCAGCTGGGGCTCGTGATAGTTCCTCGGCCAAAAACAAGATAGTGTCATCAAGAAAGTAAAGTTCACCACCCAATCGATCTGGTGATCTTAGATCAAGTCTAGAAAGATTTGAATCTCGAGAATCAGGCGAGTAAGAGAAACGACTGTTCTTGGATGGAGAGAAACTAGTTAGTGCACAGCCAGTTTTTTCTGTACTAATCATCTCAGATGATGATGACCCTATTCGTTTAGTAACTATATCTCCGCCTGAAATAGCCATTCCACTGCCACTAGAAGGATTGTGGATGATGGTTTGGTGGTGGTGAACTTCTTTTGAGGTAACTTCTTGGGTAAGAGGTTGATTCGATATGTGCATATAATGAATAAAAATAGCTAGAAAAACTAGTATCACCAAGGCGAACACACAAGATACTATCACCAGCACTTTGACAATAGTTTTAATTGGTTTTTTCTTGCTGGATGGACCACCGGAGTTCTGTTCTGGAAGAGGATTCGAAAATTCTAAGCCCGAATTTCCAGGAAAGAACGAAGATCGGGGAAACTTTCTCAAATTCTTAGGAACAACACCAGAGAGATCATTATACGATGCATTAAAGCTCTGCAAAGTATCAGGCAAGTTCTTCGACAGTTGACCCACGAAATGATTACCAGATATATCTAAAGAAACGAGGGAGGTAATTTCACCCTTGGAAAACGGTAAAGAACCAGAAAAACTGTTTCCAGCAAGACTGAGGACTTGAAGTCTAGTCAAGAAACCAAATCCACCAGGAAAGTTGCCACTAAACAGGTTATGAGAAAGATCAAGAACACGTATTTTGGATTCATTCGAGTAAGAAGAAGGAAACAAAAGATTTCCCACTAGTTTATTGTTTTGAAGATGAAGTTCTTGTAATGTGAGCAGTGACATTAAAGCAGTAGGAAACAGTCCATCCAACTGGTTGAAACCTAGATCGAGAACCGTAAGTCTAGGAAACTGCGTGATTACTCTAGGAATTGAAGAATTGAGAGAATTATGAGAGAGGTTGAGATAGGAAATATGCAAGAACTGCGGCATTGGTTCAGGGATAGACCCTGTGATACGATTCTGACTGAGATCAAGAAACTGTATGTTTCCCCATTTCACCAATCTGGTCAAATTTCCTTCAAACTTGTTTTTCGACAAATCTAAAACTGTGCAGCTACCAGTCAGCAACGGAAGCTCACCCGATAGCCCATTTGAGGATAGATTAAGAATCTGCAATGATGTTGATGTTATCATACTTATTGATCCTGCATATTAAAGCAAGATGTTAGGAAAAAAAAACCCACACTTACTTGTGTTTGTGTGTGCGTGTGTGTGTGTACATATATACAATCATTAACACAAATTTAACTACCTGTCAGATTATTGCAACTCAAATCTAACACTGTTAAAACCAACGAATCGCCTTTCAGAAGATTATTAGGAATGAATCCAGAAAACTGGTTGTTGGAGAGTATGAGGACCTGAAGGTCATATATGAAATTGAAACCAGGCAATTCGCCAGAGAACTGGTTGTGGCTCAAATCCAACACGACTAAGCTCCCAAACATCTGTGCCTTACCCCCATTGACTAGTGATCCAGTTAGCCGGTTATGGCTAAGATTTAAGTACTTGATAGTATCTGAAATTTCGGATAGTAATTTCTGACCGTGCCTCGTAGAAGTTATTGAATTCCCACTAAAATCAACATGAGTTGCGGTAGTTAAAAGCAACAACTCAGCATCTAGTCTTCCCTCAAGCATATTTCCATGGAAATCAAGCACTTCTAGATTTGCCATATATCGAAAACCTCTTGGAATTTTCTTTGTGAACCCATTAGCAGATAAATTAAGATAAACCAAATTGGTCAATTTCGTCAAGGATGATGGAATTATGCCAGAGAACGAGTTGCGGCTAAAGTCCAAAGACCGTAGGGAGGTAAACCCCGAAATAGAATCAGGAATATATCCTGAAAAATTGTTTCCAGCTAAAGACAGGTCCTTTAAACTCTTTACGACACCAAATTCAGGCGGAAGGAAAGAAAAGAACAGATTATCTGAAATATCAAGAAACTCGAGCCTTTTAAAGTCCCCTAAATTTCTAGGAAATTTCCCAGATATTGAGTTGTTGGACATTGAGAGCTTCACGAGCTTCGTTAGATTTGAAAAAACTCCCAAATCGATATTGGCTGATAATGACAGATTATCAAGAACTACATCAGAAATACTGCCATTAATGCATAGAATCCCATTCCAAGAGGAAGGACAGCCATTTAAGTCAATAGACTCTTCATTCCAAGAATCAAACACAAAACCTGTGGGATCATGCTTAATTCCCATCTTGAACTCGAGCAATGCCAAAATGTCCTGGGAAGGAAGCTGACACATAGCAGGAACAATTAACATTACCACTAATAAAACCCTAAATATAATCTTCATCAAAACAGGTATTAGATTTAGAACTACGAATTAGGATTCGAGGTTTGATGACAAATGGGTATGGCTAGTAACATCCAGAAACAGAGCATAGCAGCTTTGTACAGATCATTCAGTTAAATATCTGAAATTGAAGCCAAATAAATGAGTTATTGACACAACTCCAACTACAGAACCCTTCAAGTTCCCCCAAACCCTGAAACACAGAAAAAGGGAATCAACAAAGGAAGTGATGCAGGAGAAAATGGTCGAAGAAAAAGATAAGAACTCTCTTACCGTACAAATTGTATAAACAACGTTTAATAACTCGAAGAAAATTGCTGTTAGCTTGGATAATTACAACCAGAAAGGAAGCGGGTAATCAAATGTATATATTGTGTATGAACTTGTGACATCAATTTTAACCGCCAAAAAGAGCGAGAATCATTTTCATGGCAGAATCCGTGATTAAGTTTTCGTGGAGGGTTTCCAGTTCCACGTCGGAGTGTCTGATGCCTTTGACTACATGTCGACATTGCGATTGCGCAGGTCACGGAGGGGTTTCTTGTCATCTTGTTCTTTTTACCGTCTTGTAATAGGGATTAAAATAAATACTAGAGTAAATTACAAATATCGTCCCTACGATTGGATTGGTTCCCACAAACAAAACGATTATAACTACGTTTATTATGATTTTATTTTTGTTAAGAGCAGGAAGGAGGGGTTCTTCGCCGGGGAAGGTTCACGGTTGAGATATGGGTCTCTTGCCACGTACGGATTTGTGTAAAGGGAAGAAGGTGAGGTAGGTTTGGTTTTTGACGGGCTGTAAACGAACCGAACGAATATGAACGAAGGTTTGTTCATGTTTGTTCGTTTAACTTAATCGAACAAACGAACGAATACGAATAGTAAACGAACGAAAATCTTTGTTATCGTTTTCGTTCGTTTAGAAATAAGGTGTGTTGGTGTTCGTTTATGTTCGTTCGTTAACATGTTAAACGAACGAATATAAACGAACGAATATAAACGAACGGGCTAAACGAATATAAATAAATGTTATTTTAATTCAAAGTAAATAAATAAAAGATTATATATTAAACTTAATATATAAACGAACATAAACGAACGAGTATAAATGGACGTAAACAAACGGTAAATGAACGAACGTTCACGAACATAAATGAACGAACAATGCTCTTGTTCATATTCGTTCGTTTAACTAAACGAACAAAATAATTTTTTCATATCCGTTCATTTATTAAATAAACGAACTTCCCGCCGAACCAAAATTTCTATATAACCACATAGATGAAATTTGTAATTTCCTCTAAATATTAAAAAGAGTACCCATGAGAACGACCTCACTTATTTTAGACATCTGCTTCAAATAATCATCATACAAAACTTTGATTCAATTAAAAAAGTATAAGAAAAAAAATAAACTTTAATGTTTGGAATGATTAAGTTATAGGATAATTTTTGGAAATAAATTAGTCTTTGGATATTTTAAAACCTGTTAAATAACTTCTTTGATTTTTTAAAACCTGTTAGATACGTCTTTATGACCTATAAAACTGGTTAATATGGTAAAATAATAAAAAAAGTCTAAAAGAAACCAATAGACTTTTATATTTTGAACGATCAAGTCTTTAAATATTTTTTGAAGAAAAAAAATACTTACATCTATAAATGGAAACAAATACACCAAAAAGATACTTACATTTAAAAAAAATAATTGATAAATTTATTTTAATTAAATTTAACTTTCTATATAAAGCTTCTTCTAAAAGTTTACTGAATAAGTCTTTTTTTTATATTATTAAGTTATTACCAAATAATCATATATAGCTAACCGAATAGGTTGTATGTCCCATTAATCTCATTAAGCTCCTAAAAGACATGTTCTTAGTTTTAAAAGCTATTGATTTGTAAAAAATAGACAAAAAGTTCTTACTAATTTCTTCTATATAATTGACTTTTAAAAGTCAAATGATTAATCTAATTGAAACAAAATAGAGTGATTATAACATGTTTTAGTAAGTAAATTAATACAAAAGGGTACAAACAAAATGAATCAATAAACAATACAAATGTTGCACATACCAGTCTTTGAGTTGTACATCACGAATTAATTCAAAACAGAATCAATCGTATATTAACGATAAAAGTTAACAATTGAAAAAATATATTTGCTATTAACAAAAGGATATTCCTCTATAGTAGGAAATTTATTACCATTCATGCTTCATTGTTATATATAGGTCTCGGTAGTCATTGACTCGAATATACACACATAACTTGAAAGTTAAGGTGCTTGAAGGATGAAAAAGCCCTTGACAAACATGCATCACTTGTTCGCGATTGTCATCGTAACATATCTATTTACTTCGATGACGGATGCATGCTTCATGGCTAAATGGAATATCTACGTTACGAATGATATACCATCAGATAATATCATCGCTCATATCAAAATCGGGAGATGATGATCTCGGAAATCATACAATTCCA